CTCGGCCATTGATGACAGTTAGTCCCTGTGCCCAATCCCTGCACCCCGCACTTCTCCAATCCCCGCCCGCATCACCACAAACACACACACACACGGAGAGAGAGACACAGCTAACCACCCCCAAAAATAACAGTAATCAACTACTTCGATGACCTCCCGAACCAGAGCGTCCTCCCCACCATCGAACCAGGCTACCTCCGCCCCTTAATCCCGACCTCACCCCCCGAGAACCCTGAACCATGGAGCTCCATCCAATCGGACATTGAAACCAAGATTAAGCCGGGCATCACGCACTGGCAGTCCCCAAACTTCATGGCCTTCTTCCCCGCAGGCGTCACCTACCCCAGTATCCTGGGTGAAATGTACAGCGCAGCCTTCACAGCCCCCGCATTCAACTGGCTCTGTTCCCCGGCGTGCACCGAACTCGAAACCATCGTAATGGACTGGCTCGCTCAGGCGCTCGCATTGCCGGAGTGTTTCCTCAGCACGTCGGAGAACCGCGGAGGAGGTGTAATCCAGGTTACGGCGAGTGACACGGTCGCAACGATGATGATTGCTGCAAGGGAAAGGCGCGTGACTGAGATTGTGGTCAGTGAGGGGTTCAAGCCTGATACGGTGGAGTATGAGGATCGGATGATGGAGTTGAGGAGTCGGTTGGTCGCGCTGGCGAGTAACCAGGCGCATAGCGGTACGGCGAAGGGAGCGTTGTTGGCGGGAACGAGGTTTAGGAGTGTCGAGGCGAGGTTGGAGGATAACTTGGAGATGACTGGGGAGAGGTTGAGGGATGTTTTGGAGGGGTTGGATCGGAATAACCTGACGCCTTATTTCATTACCTTGGGACTTGGTACGACGAATTCGTGTGCCGTTGATCGGTTCAGGGAGATTAAGGCTGTATTGGCCGAGAAGGAGCATTGGAAGAGGATTTGGGTCCATATTGATGCTGCTTATGCCGGTGCGGCGCTGGTCGCGGATGAGTGGCAGTATCTTTCCAAGGAGTTTGCCGAGGGAGTCGACAGCTTCAATATTAATATGCACAAGTGGTTGTTGGTTAACTTTGATGCTAGGTTTGTGCTTTCTCCATTCCTTTACGATGCTATAAGTTGCTAACCGGAATAGTTGCCTCTTCATTCGCAACCGCGAAGACCTCACCAACGCCCTGGACATCACCCCTGCCTACCTGCGCAATCACTACTCCGACTCCGGCAAGGTTACCGACTACCGTAACTGGAGCATGTCTCTGGGCCGTCGGTTCCGTGCCCTGAAGATCTGGTTTGTCATGCGCAGCTACGGTCTCACCGGCATGAAGGGCTATATCCGCAAGTCCATAGGACTGGGAGAGACTTTTGCTGGTCTGGTCCGCAGTCGGGCTGATCTGTTTGAGATCATCACCACTCCTGCATTCGGGTTGACTGTGTTCCGAATTAAGAGCCCCAAGTCGGGGACGACGATGGTGGAAGCTGAGAATGGCGTTCTTGTTGCGCAGCCGGATGAGGCTGCGAACGAGTTGACCAAGGAGGTGTATGAATTAGTCAACTCTCGAGGAGAGATCTTCATTACTTCGACCGTTATCTGTAAGGTTTATGCTATTCGGGTTGTGAGTACGAACCCGGCGGCCGAGGAGAAGTATGTTAGGAGGGCGTTTGAGATTTTGGTGGAGACGGCGGAGGAGGTTATTAAGCGGGGGTAGGTGTTAGATACCACTTTTGGTTGTTGTGGATATATTTGAGTTTGGCTGTAGATATGGCATTTGACATTGCATTCAGATAGTAGGCTTTGGGTTGTATGTAGAATAGCTCTCCCAGAACAATGGCCTTGGATGATTCAGCGAGTGAGATACCACGGGGCAATAGGGAAAGAAGCAAGCAAAATCAACACAACAACATCATACATAATAAATTCAAACAACTCACATCTAGCGGATACACCCATCCTAGCCCATACGACAAAGAGTGAGCTCCATCTCGTTGACACCGAGGCGAATTCGCTCGTAAAGGGGGTTGGCAGAGTTTTGGATTCACATGTCTATTATGGCGGTAACCGTGTCTGAGAGAACTGTTTTCTGGAATTCCAGATATATTCGGCAACTGAACCAATAGTATAAAGAAAGACACATTTCAATGGAGGGGAACTGCAGATGAAGTCTCAGCCAAGTAGATACGCCATATAGTTATGCGAATGGTCCGAGGGTACGACCCGGGAAAGCCAGTGCTTAGTTTCTTGGATGTAGGATTATAATGACTGTCAAATCCCCTGCCAATCCCTTTGACATAAAGAAGTACATCAAGCTAAACATTAAAATTCACTTGTGACAAAGACATTTGCTTTCCACAAAGCAGAGAAACCGCGAATGGCCGCCCACTCACGCAAGAAAGAAGTTATAATGATAAAGTCATTGTGAAAAAAGTGACAAAGCCACACTATACATGCAATGGAAGATCCCGCTGCAGACCGTACATTACATCGAATGACTACCGCTTTTGGCAAGGGAAACGACGCACCAACCACAACCTCTCAAAGACATCCGCAGATCATATAAGTACTTATCACCTCTTCAGAAACCCAGACTTGGTCACCACGTCTCATCTATCACCCCCTATTCTTTCTGGCCTTTGTAACGCACACAGCCAGAGAAGGCAAACCCCATGCCATGCACTAGCAGTACTATAGAGTAGCAAACCAACATGGATGTCTCCGAATCATGTTCCCCTGGACGAAAGATATATAAATGTACATGTACCTCTTGAACAGGGGGATGTATCAACTGCCAGCCCTAGTTCCATCACCAGTCACTGCCAGCATCACTATATAAACGTCATTTGTCAACACACGCAAAATTTGAGGAAAAAAGCCATTTGTCGATTGTCTATTCAAGATGCACCACATCGAAGAGCCAATCGCTCAGATGGAGGACTTCAACATGCTTAGTGATAGTGATATGGATATGGTTGATGGGTTGGTGCCAAATTCTGCCGCCTGTGGCTTCATTTCTACCTCCAACCCCGCTGATTTCAAGGAGAATATACCCCCTCCAGCAGAGGATGAAGGCACCATCGACGACGATGCTACCGATGTGGCTACCGATGTGGCTACCGATGTTGATCTCAACGAAGTCATGGAGGACTTGGACATCGATGATGACTATGAGGCGTCCGAGAGTGGGGATGATAGCGAGTACAGTGAGGAGGATATGGACCTTGCGGATGGTGATAGTGAGCAAGGTGTCGATAGCGACTGGGGGGATGATGAAGAACGGACAAAAGCTGAAGAAAATGAAGAAGAAGACTACGATCCCGAAAACGCGCCCATCAAGAAATCCAGTGTTGATCGCATCGAAGACACCTTCGATCATCTGTATGAAAATGACGAACGTCCATCATCTTCTCATCATAATGAGGATGATAGCATGGAAGATCTGGTCTACGAGGATACCGAAAGCGATGATTCTGGATCAGCTGAGTCTGATGATGGAGACATGGAGGACATCTCAACCGACGACCAGGATGAACCTGTCTGTTGCATCTGCTCGAATATGGATATGTCAGACGATGACGATGAGAGTGAATCTGAGGATGAATCTGGGGATGTATCTGGGGATGAATCTGGGGATGATTCTGAAGACGACGATGAAGACGACGACGACGACGACGACGACGCTTTCCCTGGATGCGACTATCTAGGATTGGCCGACTATGTGGAAGGGTGCGAGACGAAGCAGGGAATTATGCATGATCTACGCCCATCAAACCAACCGTACCCAAAAGATCCAACGGCGAAACTACATGTGTTGATTAAAATCACAACTTACTGTCCACATACCCTGATTCGCGTCCCCGTGAAGCCACTAGCTCTTTCATCCAGGGTCTTCGCCGAAATCTTCGGCTATCAAGTAACCGGCGACGCACAGCCCAACAACCAGGCTCGCTGGGACGAGGATGAGCTTGTCTGGGTGAAAGATCTGTCGTTCGATTGGCCCAATCCCGCAGCTATGCTATGGGTTCTGCGGACCCTGACCAGGGGATGGGTCGATTGGCCAGGATCTGTTGAGCTTGTGTTCCTCAAGGACATCGCTGTTATTGTGAATAGATTTGAGCTACGAGATGCCATGAAGCCCTTCTCGGCTGCCTGGCTGGAAAACACCTGTGTGAAACCGGAAAGATATGTGCCCTCACACAAAGAGCTAGTGGATTGGGTGTTGTTCATTACTTGGGTATTTCAGTCTGGATCCGGACGGGATTTCCGATATGCTACGCGTGGTGTGATTATGGATTACACGTTCAAGTCCAAGCCAAAAGACGGACTTCTGCCCAGGGATATGTATAAAGCTATTTACCAGGCTCGATCGGAGCTGTATCAGAGCTTTGCGGAAATTATCCGGGAATACTTAGGTTTCAAGCCTGAAAACGAGCAGAAGGGTCTCTGGACTCTCTGTGAGCATCAATCATTGGATCCTTGGCTATCTATCTTTACGGCCTTAGAAAACCCAAGCGCGTACAAAATGTCGCTAAATCGTATTTATCAGAAGATGAAATCGCTGGTGTTTGACAGACTTACAATTGAGCCTTTATACTGTGATTGGTGTAAGGGGGCATGGAGAACCCTAGAAGCCTGCGAAGATGAGATGCGACGGACACTGGGGATCGACTGTGATGGGAATCAGGTACAAGAGTCCGCCGAATGCGACGGTATGTGTTCGCATCGGCCGCAGTTCAGCTTCCAGGGAGTGTCCTGGCCTTGCCCAGACTGGGTGGGATGCAAGACTGATGCAAAGCCGTGAACGAGGATCGAAGGGTTTGATGCGAGTCATGTAAAGGATGAAGACAGTATAGTGTGTTCTTAGAAGGCGTCTTTCGCTGTGCCATACATGGGAATGGTCTCTGTTTAGGTTCAATCCACTCGGGGAATTTCCCCGCACTTACGCCATGACAGCATTATTAATGCAACTGTATCACATCAGCAACAACTAGTAAATATTTCTCTTCCTCTTTTGCTCACCCTCTCTACTTGTTTCTTCAATACACAAGCACTAGTGCAACCCATCTTCCCCTCCCCCATAACCATGCCCCTCGCTAGAGCAACCTTCAACGACATCGTCCTCGCCGAATCCCCCACCTGGGAGACCGTCGAAGGGAACATCTACGTAAGCCCCCCAAACCACATAGCCTAGATACCCCAACCGACTTAACACATTATCCAGTTCCCACCCACAGCTATCAAAGATGAATCACTCTTCGTCCCGATCGACAAGGTGACATATTGTCCGTGGAAAGGAGATGCATCGTATTACTCTCTTGTGATTGGGCGTGAGGATCTCCCCACCCCATCTCTTCGTTTGTTTAAACTGCCCCCCTACGGAGACAGAATGATCGTATCGTTGCTAACAGATTGATATCTAGCCACGACAATCCCCGGTGCAGCGTGGTATTACCCCAAACCCTATGATGCTGCAAGCAATATCAAGAACCATGTGGCATTTTGTATGTTTTACCCATTGATTGTTTCTAGGCTGGGTGATGGGAGCTAACGGCGCATGGGCTCAGACACAACAGACAGTATTATAGTGACCGTGGAATGAATGGTCAGTTGGGATTGGTGTTGTGAGTGGCATGTTTGTAATGAGGATGGATGATTGATACAGAAGTACTAGTTTGATGTAACTCTCACGTTTAGCATTCCAGTACATTAAACCCATTATCAAAGGGAAAGCACGCCATACTCTCTACTTCCCTTCCTTCACAAGTCCATACTTCTCCTTCAGATGCTGAACAGCGGCTTCCGCCAACCTTCCAACCTTCCCAATCTTCGCAATCTCCACCATACTAATATCTCAATTGAGATCGCCTCGCAACCCGCGCTGAATCTCCACCGCCATAAGCGAGTCAATAGGCATCTCTACAATCTCCTCCGCGGACATCTCAGCAGCTCGCGGCATATGTCGTGCCAGGTGCTTGCTCAATTCGTAATTGTCAAATTGTTTTTCACCTCGGGCTCAATCAGCATGGCCAGGTTCTGGTCGACCCGCCGCAGGAGCTCTTTGATTGCTGCACCGCCGGCTGTTGCGCTCTGTCCCTCCTTCATCTCGATGGTGGCGTAGACGGAGAATCGTGAGTCGGAAGGCACCCACGCTGTCCGGACTGTAGGATCGCTGGTTGGACGGGTATTCCCGAGGCCGATGATACAAGCGTCTGATGTTATACCTTGATTGACAGAGATTGGTGGAGAATTGCACTGGCGGATTGCCAGCTCTAGACCTTCCAGGAGCTCGTCCTCTCTGGCAAGTCGTACGGAAGCTGCTTGCATTGATTGCAGCAGTTTTGCATCACGGCTGACGATACCACAGTCTTCCACTGCTCCAAGGGCAAGGGTAGCCGATGGGAGACCCAGGCGACGGCGGTAGCGCGTAAAGCTGTCGAGTAATGTATTGGCGGCGGCGTAGTTTGCCTGGCCGTGGTTGCCACAGATGCCGGCGATCGAACTGAAAACGACGAAGAAATCGAGCGGCTGGCCAGAGGCCGCGTGGTGAAGATTCCAAGTTCCCTGAACCTTTGTGGCAAGGCAGGTATTCCAGTCATCGTAGGTCATTTTGGCGAAAATCTGGTCTTTCAAAACCGCTGACAGTTGGAGAACCCCAGCCAGGGCAAGCCACCTGAACGACGTCTTCCAGAATGTCAACAGCGAATGTGGTGATCGCCTCGGCGATGACAATCTGTGCAGCGATTCTCCCCAAACGGCGGCGCTGAAGCAATGCGTCGATGATAACGCCAAGTGGGCGGCAACAACAGCTGCCTTGCGGCTTGTGGGCTATTTGTCCGAGGACAGGTGCGAGAAGGTATCGGACTACTTCAAGAGTGAGCAGCTGTGGAACAAGGATTTGCCGAACAGGTCGCAGGTCGCAGGTCTATGTTCAGAACTGTTAGGGGGTATAGACTCTGGCTGAGACGATAGAGGTTTCCAACGCTACCTCTATGGTCCACAGAGGAAAAAGGGATTGTCGCTTTCCGATGGGGTCAGACGAGAGACGGATAATCTGGCTGAAATGAAAGGAATAACTCGTGACGGATAATGGAAGAGCCATGTCAGAATGAACCTTTCGGAATTAATTTTCGCGGGTGATCGGTAGGGCATGGTGGTGAGCGGAAACGGGATCCATGGCAGGTATTTGCGAAGAATTAGCCATCCGTCTATATACAATTGAGATGCCAAGGGCTTCAAGTAGAGGTCTGCAAGCTTGTATCTCTTGATGACGGCGTCGCATTGTGTGAATGTAAACCTTCATTCCATGCTAGAACACAGTGAAATGACAGGATATGCTCTGGAATATTACTGAGACTGTTTGGAATTGAACAGATTATCCCCGAGACAACTCCGGGTCTGTCAGCTCATTCAACAATTCCGTCCAGTCTGCCGTGTCCAGAGCTAGGTCGTTGCCTGTCTCAAGCATCTCGGTCCATATGTCCTCTAAATGCCTCTCTTGGGGAACATCATCGGTGCTAGCATCAGGGGGGTGTGAAGGGACATTGCTTAATTCAGTACTGAGAGGTTGGGCGTAAGCCTGTGTATGACCCGGATGAGAACGCACTGCGTCATTCCCATGTGGAACAACAGGGGGCATCTCGTCACTCCGCTGCAGCTTTCCGGTCCTCCAATGCTTTTGCAAAACGCCCATCATTGCATTGATTCCTTCTCTGACTAGGGCAGACGACTCTTGTGCCTTGCTCAGCATGCGGCAGGCCTCTAGCACTTCTTCCTTTCGTTTCTCAGCGAGTATATCGTCCCAGTTGAAGCACACGTCCAGCAATAGTATCACGGCGGCAGCGAAGACATGATGCATCACAGACCAGACGACAGCGTTTGGCGGAGTGTAGTTTGGTTCATTTCCATCCATGATCCTCTTGATCTCCAGTACCTTTCGGGCAGACTGTAGACAAATAACATGGGAGTAGGAGTATGCCGGTTCACGAGCTCCTCTGATGAAGAAGTCACGATGTAGGCGGCACAAACGCGAGAAGAAACCTTGTTGCAGGAGACAGCCTTGCCAGGCAATGGTTGGGCGCTCTTCGTAAAGCGAAGCAAACCGCCGTCTAGATGATGGATCCAGCCGGAAGAAATCAGGTATTTCAGCCACAGCTTGATGGAACTTTCGGTCTAGCTCGAGGACTTTTTCGTATTGTGGCTCCAAGCCATGCAGGTGCTCGTAGGATGTTGCATCAACTACCTCTCGGCTGACAGACGCTAGTTTCAGACGTTGAAGGAAGAAGGACATGTCTGTTGGTGTGGAACTTGGCAGTGATACCATTTCGCGACGCATTGCACTGTCATCTATATTTAAGGGTTGGTTGACGTTCATGTGGCGCGGCTGGATGAGATACGTCCACTCTTGAGGGCCAGGGAGGAAACCCAGTAGCCTGCAACTTTAGTGAGCACTTAGCATTCAAAGGGCTTTTGATAGTTCTTACCAGTCGAAAGACGTCAGATCCCACCAAATCCGTCTCTTGAGTTCCAGATCTACTGGATCGTAATTAGATCCCTCCCTCTCATTCCGAAACCGTGGCGAGTCAATGCAATGGAGCATAAGACTCTTTGCTTGGCTGACGATAGCACCGTGCACAAAGAGACCGCTCACAGACGGTGGAATGTTCCAGTTGGAGACATTATGCATGACCACCATGGTGGCCTGCAAGCCCACGAGCGTCGGAGACAGGGAGTAATGGCTCTGGATCAACGCGGCACCAGTAAGGAAGGCAAACTCTCGGCTTCGATCTCCTACATCGGAAGATGCCACCACAGTTTGCTGCAGACATAGAGAGCTGGCTAGGATGCCAAAAAGAAGCGCCAAATGGCTGAGGTCTACGGGCTTGCCACTTTCGATGCAACAGTAGATGCCATCTATTTGGTCTTCCACGCACTTGGGGACAAGGATATGGTAGAGATAGTCGACGTAACGATGATAATATCGAAAGAGATTCAAAGCCTCCGATTTTGGGGGGACAAAGTCAATCAAGTTAACCGACGCCGGATTCTCGTTGATGGCAGACCGACTCATGTATGGCATTGACAGCAGGGGCCTTGCAGGCCCTATCTCCTGGTTCACGCTTAAGTTGCGCCCTCTTACCGAATCGTCTAGTTCATCTCGAAACCATTTCGGGGTTGCTGTTGGCACCCGGTCAGCCATGTGGATGTTCTCCAGCCAGTCCGCTGTGAGTAGCGACTCCCGATTGCTTGGCCGCAATGGAGCTTCAGTAGATCCGGTAGGAACATTTTCGGCTCCCGGGGGCACACTTGAGCTACTCGTAGGGGGTGTCTGCATTGCGCCAGCCGGTGATGGGTTCGGAACCCTTGCAGCCTCTGGTCTCCCATAAATGCACGCCAATCGGCGCGCAGAGCAACTGCCGCATGGCTGCTGACGATCGCATTTGATTTTCTTGTGTCGACAAGAGTCGCAAGATACGGGGTCCTGTCTGGGAGCGCGTCTGGAGGTATGCGGCAATTGTAATGCAGCCTTGCGCTTCATGATGAGATGAGATGAGATACCGAGTTGATGACTTGACCGGAGGCGATTAATTGACCGAATCACGTGAGTATCAGTCTCCGTTCTAGCAACCAGTCATTTCCCTTCTGCACTACAATGTTGTAGAGAGCAATGTTCCGTGATGCTAAAAGAATTGTTGTCGGTTGTTTTCTGCAGTGTGGAATTGATGGTCTTAATGGTTAACCGCCGCCGCCCGGAAGCTCCGCGGACAGTCCGAGCCGATCCATCAAGCTTCATACTATCACAATACCATGAACCTTGTCCCCGGAGGCTCCGGGTGTTACAACTTTGATATGTATCACTTGTCACTGTATGCAAATAATATATATGCGCTCAGAGGCTCTGCTTCAAACATGTTTCATCAACCCAAAATAACATTGAGCCGCACTGGACACTCACTATCTTCAGCTTCAACTTGTCAAACCTAACTAGCAACCATGGCTCACCCTAACGATGCTCCCTCCACCAAACCAACCTCCGAATACACGTACGTCCCCCATACCCCCAACAAAAAACATATCACTAACCACCCCAGACCCCTCGCAATAATGACCCTCCTCGGCTCATTCTGCGGCATGTTCTGCACCGTCGGCTTCGTGAACTCCTTCGGCCTCTTCCTCGAGTACTACAAAAAAGACCAACTCTCCAACCAACCCGAATCAACCATTGCATGGATAGCCTCAATCGACATCTTCTTCATCTTCGGGGTGTCTGTCGTATCTGGCCCTCTACTCGATACTCTCGGGCCACGAGTGCGTATCCACCCCATACCATACTATACTTACCACACAACTAATAAACCTCCCAGCTCCTCCTCTGCATCGGCTCCCTCGGCACCATCTTCTCCATAATGATGACCTCCCTCTGCAAACAACTCTACCAATTCATCCTCGCCCAAGGCATCCTCCTCGGCATCTCCCTATCCCTACTCACCTGCCCCATGATCGCCCTCGTCGGCCAACACATCAAGATCAAGCGCGGCGCAGCAGTCGGCATTGTGATCGGGGGATCCTCCCTCGGTGGCGTCCTCTGGCCGATCATCGTCAATGAACTGCTCAAGAAACCGAACATTGGGTTCGGGTGGACCATGCGCATCGTGGGATTCATCATGTTGCCGCTACTCACAGTGACATGTTTTTGCTGTAGACCTGCTGCACCACCTCCACCATCACCTTCTCAACAATCGCAGGCGCACTCAGAGCCAGAATCAGAGAAACCCTCCCCTACACCCCAACCTCATAAAGAACCAGAGCCTTCCCTCCTCAAAAACCCAACCCTCCACCTAACCTGCCTCTCCTTCTTCATCATCTACTTCGGGATGTTCTCGCCCTTCTTCTACGTCTCCAGCTACGGCGTAGCAAAGGGCTTTTCCTCCTCGTTATCATTCTATACGATCTCAATGCTAAATGGCGCGTCCCTCTTTGGGAGGATCATCGGGGGTATACTAGCTGACAAGTACGGACGGTTTAATGTCTGTATTGTATTTACGATCCTCTCCGGGGTGGTTTGTCTCTGTTGGACGAAGGCGACGAGTGTGGCGGGGTTGGTGGTGTTTGCGGTGGCGTATGGGTTTGCTTCGGGGGTGAGTGATCCCTTCTTTTCTATTCTAGGTGGTGGTGAAGATGGGGGATGAAAGCTAATGGTGGGTGATTGTGGAATAGGCTATCCTTTCCCTTCAGCAAGCATGTGCATTGCAACTTGCTACGCCGAAGACGGTGGGGTTGGCGGTGGGGGTTGTTATGGGGGCTACGGCTTTGAGGTATGATCTATTTCATGTGTGGTTTGTGTTGGTTGTGATGGCTAACGGTATCTGGGTGGATATAGTGCTATGGCTGGGATACCTATCTCTGGGGCATTGGTGCAGAAGTATGGGTTCCTTGCGCTGTCGGTATACGCTGGGGTGAGTTTGTTGGTGGGTGGGGTGTTTTTGGGTGTGGCGAGGGGGAAGCAGAGGTTGGAGTTCTGGGCTGTTGTTTGAATACTTATATACCACTTAGGGTGTTGAGTGATAGATGGGATGTTGTGTGGTTCAGTTGTTGGTATGGTATGCCGGGTAGACTAGAGGGTGATGGCTGTTTTATAGATTTGCTTCATGTTTAGATCCATCGATGCTGTATTAGTGCTAGTTAATTAGTCCTCTTCTAATAAACCAGATATCTCCACTCATCTGCTACGCTACAACTAACATCCCCTAGGAAGAAGTGTACTCCCCCTTCGCATCCGACTAAACCCACCACCACTATACCCCGCTCCCTATCCCAATCCTCTCTTCGCAAACCCCCTCCATATCTCACATCGATTCTTACCCCCAGTCAAGACAATGTCTGCATCAAGAATGGCATCTCTGACTTGTACGAAGTTCGGATTACATGGTTGTCTTCATTCCGTTATCAGTCAGGATCCGACGGACATTCCGAAGGTAAAGAAAAAGAAAGCTATTCTGTAGATCACTTACAGCGCCATCCCATCCACCACCAACTTCATCATCAAGTACTTCCCGTTGTCGGCACTCCGTTCCTGAACACCGGTCTGGGACCATCATTTTTCCCGTACTTATCAATGAGATTCCACATCACCTCGTACAGCATAGTCGCCCAGACGGTTCCGATAGCGTGCACGCCATTCATGGTATTCACGCTCGTGTAGCTCAGAGGATTCTCGGCAAAAGAAGTAGAGTAGGGATAGTCGCGGACACCGCGTTTATCGTTATCTGCCCAGGCGCCCATAGTGTAAGACGTCCTGCGCGTATCGTTGGATTTGATACGAATGGCCGTGGCCATAAAGTCGCCCCAACCCTCGCCCATACCGCCCGATTCGAGGGTGTTGAGACATCCGGCGTTGTGGGAGCCGCCGGTGAGGCGGTTCGATACTGAGATATTAGACTTGGTTTATTTAATTGGGAAGGGGAGGGGGAGCTTACCGCCGTGAAAGTATTCGTGAACTACGATGCCCGCGTCGAAACTTCCATCCCACGACGGGGTGGATTCAATCCATATGTACATGCGCATACGGCCGGGGATACCGTCGGGTGGAGTGGCAAAGTTTGCGTTGCTATATCCGGAGCCGTCTTGTGCGTTGAGGATCACGTAGTCTTTGTCGCGGCCGCCGCGGGCGCTGTTGTTCCATTGGAAGTTGCCGGTGGATTCGGTGAAGCCTAGTGTGTAGAGGAGGTCGTGGTAGGTGTTTGCTGTGTAGAAGAGTTGGACGATGGAGGCATTGATGTATGATCGAGGTGGGGACATGTTTGGGGGGGGTAGGGATATTGGAAGTTCAAGTCTGGGTTGGATGGGCGTAGATTGTAGAGATAGGAGCCACCGCCGGTTGGGTTCCAGTGCGCGATGGCGTTGTTGCCTCTAGTTGTGGTGTAGTTGTTTTGTCCGTCGCTGACCCAGGTGTATTCGGATGCGAATAGGTCCCAGGGATTGGTGAGGATGGTGCGATGTCCTTCTGTTGGATCGTTTGTGCCGCAGGGACTGTTTCTTAGCTTGGTTGTTTGGTCGGTAGGGTCACTTACTAGACCTGATATGTCGCGTCTGCTACGTAGTCGACTACGCCATGGACAGTGGTGGTTTCTGCATCAATGTAGGTCAGTAGCCAGTGCTCGTACATGTCTGTTTCTACCCGCCATGTGAGTGCCAGGGTCCCATCTGGCTTGACGAGGTAGACTAGTTTGGCTTTGGGGTCAGATACTGCACCCGCTGCCTGTCTGAAGATGTACTCGTTTAGTCCATTAGCAGCTTCCGTAGAAACATTGTCAATAGTGAGTGGGAGCTGTAACGCGTCCCTTGCTCCTCTAAGAGCAGCTACGGGACTTGACAGGTTGGGGTTGTCCAGGTAGCTGCTCGGCAACGCGCCTGTAAAGAATGAATGCCCGAAAGATAAAAGCTGTCCGTCCCTTCCAGTCTGTAACAGTGAGCTTTTCTTTACCAGAGTTAGCGGGGAACATACATTAACATTAAAGTCCGCATTGTCAATGTCAATATCATGAGCCGTTTGGCGAAAGTATACATGCGCAACGCCATTGTTGCCAACGTAGTGGTCATCGACAAGACAGAAGATTGCTCCAGGAACAACGTTCTGAACTAGTCGAGCTGCTGTATTGGTATAGTGTTCTTCAGCGGATACTACCACTGATCGGTTTGCGTTCACATCGACTGAGTTAACATATTCCGTGTTAGAGGTCAAACGGAGGGAGTTCAAATCCACGGGTGCTGGAGTTGAGGCCGTAGGATATGCCAGGATGGCCAAAGACACTGCTGCTATGCTGCAGACTAGGCGCAGTCGATGCATGTTTGCTAATGGGTGCACGGAATGAAAGATGATTTAGGATCATTGATAGACTAGAACATGGTTTATATATACTGCCAGTTTGCTCAGGTACTATAAGAGCAGTCAGTACAGCCATAGCTACCCCTATCCTTCCCATTTCCCCATAGCATTGCCTTTCAAGGAAAGCTACTGTCCGACGTTGCATGGCTGTCCAACAATGGCGATGTACAACCTCTCCCCCTCCGATATCATTGGCCTACCGATGACTGACCTCCCGGGTTGTCTCACAAGCTAGCTTGCAGAATGTTAAGGGATCCCATAAAAAGATACTCCTTCAATAACAATAGATCAAATCCAGTCTGTGTACTACTAAAGAAGTGCTGGTAGTACGCATCCTGAGGACGGAAGATCGTCCCGCTATAAGACAAGACCGACTTCCCATAAGTCGCCGGCACTAGTCAGCCACCTTTATACTAACGGAATCACCAATTGCCATGCAGATTACCGCCATTGTCTCCCGTCGGAGATAGAGAGCTCCGCTGAGGAATCATTTAGATGGATATTGTACTTTGCAAAGCAGCGGCTTTGGCAAGGAGATATATCGGCGTCTGCCGAAGTCCAAGGGTATTCATTGTTGTTATTTGATATGCTCGCATGAGTGGACTATATCTTAGCAGACTGCTCCAATTTCCGCGCCCGGTCCTTTGCAATATCGCACATTGCCTGCAAAGAGCCCATTGTCAGCACTGTTCCGTCGTTGGGTGGACAGCCATCTCACCTGTATGATCTCCTCCACTTCGCGATCGGCGTCACCCCGGTCGATCCGTGCCCGCATCTCTTTCATGATGACATCCCTGTTGCGGCCGTTGACAAAAGTACTATGCCACGGACATATGTCAGACCAACACAAGTCATCGGGTGATTGAGAACATACACAAATCGCAAGCCAGGGAACTTCTCCTCATATTCCGCATTCATACGCTTCAGCTTCTCCGCTTGTTCCTCTGCTCCCGTGTTCAGGTTTGCTTGTTCCTTCTTGCTCAGTTCACTCAGGTGCTCCGTCGGGGCTCCCTTGGGCTGTCCCAGGCGGGGATGCGATCCCAGAATTCCCACCAGGATATCGCGATCTTTCGACGAGTTGGCAGCAGACAGGGCAGACATGCGACCGCCAACCGCATCAATCAGAGTGGCATAGGATGAAAATGTCTGGTTTGCGAGAACGGGAGCCATGAGGGTGTGCAGCTCCGGCGACGACTCGAACAGGGTATCCAGGACGCGGAATTGCTGCTCCTGCGGGAGTGATGTAATGGACGACGGAGCGGGGAGATCGGAGGACATGATGGTGGGGAGGGGAGGAGATTAATTGACGAGGACTATGAGCTGAAGCTGATGTTTTCGAGTAAAAGTAAATTGATCAATTTCCGTTTGTTTGAAAAAGCAGCGGTGATGGTTAAAGTGGGGGGTAGTTGGATATATGCTGCTGCAATGAGTCCCCGCATCGGCAGCCTCCGAGCGATGAAGAGGCAGCGGGACGGAGACCTCCAGATGCGGACAGTTTCAACCACCCCCATACCCCCATCACATTGCGGATGAGACTAATCTCAATTGCAACGAGGGATCACTATTTTCACAGAAATTTGGACTGGGACTGAATGTGCACGGACATGAGCTGTGAAGCTAGAGCTTGAGCTTGAGCTTTAGCATCCGGTAGAATTACATTGCAGACTGACGACACGGTCGGACATGCTTAGAATTTCCGCAGGGGTTCTAGACCCCTGACCTTCCATACTGGATGAAATCTGGGGAGGGGGTAAAGCGATGACAAGAATCGGATTGTCCATCGATAGTGGCCATGTAAGGTGGGATAAAGTTTAAGTGGGCAACCAGATAGACTCCATCCAGGAGAATTTCTCAGCGATAGAGAGGGTGTATATATTTGGGGCCTGGATAATTAGCAGTGGACGATCGCATGGCTATCCTGACCGATTTTGAGCCTAGCCGATACGTATCAAGTATTATTAACACCATACCGTCGTGTATGACCTTGGTATCCTATCGGTAAAGTAAGTAACCGTCGCACGGCCCTGGCAGCGACCAGGAAAGCCACCTGCAGATGAAAAGCAAACCCGCATCATCATCCCTGCTGCTTCCTCTTCCTCCTCCTCCCGTTCACGCCGGTTGTCGGGTGCCGAGAGGAACTGGAACCACGAGCAACATGAGTCGTTCTCTAACAGTTGTATTTCCGCGACCGTGGAGAAGGGGTTGTGAACTAGTACTAACCACTACTAAGTAAGTAAGTCGGTACCTGAGAGTTCAGTCAATTGGAAATTGGTTCAACCAATAGTCCCACGGTCGGACTTCCTTCTGCGGCGTCATTATTGGATCCCCATCTGGTGTTGCCTTCAGGGACATAAGTAACTTCATCAAGTACTTAGTAGTAACTAGTCCACTTGTCAATGGCCTGATTAATGAGAGTGGGAGACCAGAGACAGACAGACACATTAATATAGGGATTAATCTAACTTGACTTCCTTTCTTTCTTTTCTTTTCCTTTCCTTTCCATTCTCTCCCTCAGTGAATGAATGAACTTATACAAGTTATTTCGACTTGTGACTTGAAAGTGGAGAGGGAGAGAGAAAGGCACCCGGGCCAATCCACTTTTTCCACACCCATTATTATTAACCAACCAACCAACCAACCATCTTTCCCCCCCCCATTTCTGCCCCTGAACGGTCTCAAGACCGGGCTGAACTCCTGAGAGGTTCGTGGGCACAGAGTCACCAACCAACTCGGTCCCCTCGGCCGTCTTTGCGGATGGATCAGCATTCTTGTTCACAAAAAAGGAATGAGTTATACATTGTATCTGATTCTCAATTCATCGCCCCCCGTTTAGTGTGTCCCGCCCGTCTTGATCTCGCTCCACCGCTGGTGTGTGTCTCGCTCTCGCTGCCATCACACATCGAGGACCGGCGCACTGCTTTGCTTTGCTTTGCTTTGCTTCCTTACATTCTGAACCTTTCCGCTAGACCCTCCCTTTCCCCTCTTTTTTCTCCTCTCGCCCCTCCTCTTTCTTCTCTTCCCCTCCCTCCATCGTCCATCATCATCATCGCCATCACTTGAATCGTGATCTGTGACGGTCCTGGGCATCTGCCTCCAATGCAGTTCCCGTCATGTCGCTCAATGGGCTAGATAATCCCACCGTCATCGATGCCTACCAGACCGCGCTCACCGAGGCCGGTGGATGGTAAGTACTTAGTCCGTGTGTCTCGGCTATACCCTGCAGCACCTTCGGGTCCTCCGTTGCAAGGGTGGCCATGGCAACCCAATCGCATCAACTGTCGCTAATGCGCATGGCTTGGGTCTCTTCTAGGTTTCTCCTCCGGTATGTATCAAGGGATGAAGTTGATCTCCTTGATCGCGGCACCGGCGGGGTGCCCGACGTGCGCAACGCGATCGACAGCTACGAGGAGAAGTCTCCGCTCTACGGTTTCCTACAATATCGGCGACGGAAAGTGGTCCTCAGCTATCTGCCAGAGGGCATGTCCCGTCTCGTTCAGGGTTCGTCCAGATATATGGTCCCGTCCTGACAATCTTGCATCCACTGACCTCGTCATCTCCCTGCAGCCCGAACGACCGTCCAATTCCAATCAATTCTAGACAAGTTCTCCCCGCATGATACGGTATTCTCGGTGACGCAGCCATCGGAACTTACAGAAAGCGCATTGTCCTCCGCATGCTTACTGCATACGGCTTCCGGTTCGATCACTTCCTCTTCCAGCTCCCTCCGCCGTCGCCGATTGAAAGAGATCGCGGAAGATGCCGAAGAGACCACTGTAGGCAAGGACGAGAACCAGGCGCAGTCCGCGGCCGATGGAATGCCGCGCCAGAGATCGTTCAGTCAGCTGTCCGAAGCCACAGTGGTTCCTCCATCCGTGGTGTCGAGTATCCAGCAATCACCAGTCGGGAACGAATCGACCCCGAAAAGTTCCGAAAACGCCTCCATTCGAGAGCGGTCGTCTTCCGTGGCCACATCGGAGCGGGCTCCTTCCTATAAGAGCTTTCGAGAAGACGCATCCTATGCTCCGTCGGAGCCCCGCCAATCTTCGCAATCCGCCAGGCCGTCCGTACGTGACCTGGAGCGTGCCGGATACAAAGCTAAGGTGAAGCTGGGCCCCCGCCCTTCAGTAGATGGCAGCGGACGCCCTCGCACTGCAGGCAACCTCTCTCGGAGCGCGGAGCGACGGCCGGTGGCATCTTTGCCGGCGGGCGTTCGATCATCGTCCCTGCGCAAGTCCAATCCCAGTCCTTCGCGACCTCGATCTTCTGGAGGCAACGGGACCCCCGTCGCCAGCAAAGTGCCGGCGGTGCCTCCGTTACTGGTGCCTCCCTTTTCCATGCCCATCTCGCGGCCCAAAATATCGCCCGGTGCCAAGTCACTGAGCGCGCTGTCGTCCTCCACCACGTCCAACGAGAAAGAGCGGTTGATGAAGGCGCTTCAAATGCGGAAAACGCAAATGGAGAAAAAAGCAAAGGAAGGGAAGAACAGTTCCGCGACAGATAAGGGAGAGACGTCCGGGCTGGATATGACCGAAAATAAGGAGAACATCGGTCATATGCCAAGTAAAATGAAGCACGACGGGGGCGATGACCGAATGGCCCACTTGGCAGGGCCGAACAAGGAGCCCCTTTCCGAAACTCAGCCAAGCCTGCAGCCCACGCTCCGTCTTCAGGGGGCTGAAGAAGAAGACGGTCGTACTACTCCTAAATCCCCTGAGCCCTCGGGCGACCACCTCTCCCTTAGCCAACCGGCACACCTGAGCGACAGCAGTAATGAGTTTCAGGCGACAACACCCACTCGTTCGGGGTCTGAAACGCAGGAGGGCGACAGGGACTTGGACGCATCCAATTCCGGAGGCGTCTCGGGTGGCCCCAGCTCCCCGACTAGGCTGCCTAGCGCCATCGCCGCTCCACTCGAGAACAATTCTGGAAAGGCTCCGGACGAAGAGATTGTTGGCCCCTCGCCACCAAAACCAGTCCCCCATCCTGTTGTTCCTGGCGAACAAGAGGTCCTCCCTCACCACCATCACCAACCCAGCACGCCAGACGTGACTGAGTCCGATCTATTCGAGTCGCCTGCTCGGCCCGATTCCCCCCACCATCTTCCAGCGGCCACCTTCACCCCCAAGTCCTTGTCGATCGCCGCTCCCCCTCCGACGGAGCCGCAGCATGACTTGACCCCTGAATCCTCGAATGTGGAGCGACAGCACAGCACGTCTCGAAAGGAGAAACGCAAACCCTACCTCGAACCTATTCAAGTCCCAACTCCCGACTACTCGGATGACGAGAACCTTCTTTCAGACGACTCCTTCATGGAAGAATTGACCAGTGCCACGGTTGAGGAGGCCAAGCCCATCTCCGTGGGCGTGTCACCCCTCTCCCCAGGCTACTCCAACAGCAGCAACGGCAACGTCTCGCCTGATGCGTGGAGGAATTCGCGTGCCGTTTCAAACCCCAGTGCCATTGGACACCAGTCTCCCAACATGTCGACCGTAGCCATGGGCCGCTCCGTCTCGACGACGGGTGCCGATTCTGGCTCCCAGAACGGGCCGGTCCTGGTGGCAAGGAAGATCAATGTGTCATCGGGCATCTCCAGCCGCATCAAGGCATTGGAGAAGTTCTCCAGCAGTCGCGACGCCCCTTCGACGAACGGCCAAACCCTCGCCGCCCCCTCCGCTGCCTCCTTCGAGACTCTTCGCAAAGGCTACTCGGGACCTTCGATGCCCCGACCCCTCTCATACGCCCCTGAATCCTTCTCGCGCTCAGCAAGTGTGAGACGACCTAGCTCACAGGCGGGCCCTGGCCTCGCTGGTCCTGGCCTCTCGCGCTCCCCTAGCTCGGTCTCTGTGACCGCTCGCATTGTTCGCGATCCCACCGCTGCCGAAACCAACCCGAACGCCGACCCATCCGAGCCGGTCGCCCTCAATCTACAACCCAGCCAGATTACTGTCGAACAGGAAACTACACAGCTCCCTGTGTTGAGTCTGCAAACAGAACCTACCATCACTCCGTCGGAAGATGATACCTTGCCTCCGTCCTCTGCTGGATCCGACCAGCAATCCTCCGTGTCCATGCAGCGTCCGGAGAGCCGAATCTCTACCCCTACATCCATCAAAGAAGAAGAGGTAGCATCCCCCGCCAAGTCGTCTGGTGATGCGCCCTCCTCCCCTGATGAGAAGAAGGAATCCCGTGCGACGCGACTCCTGCGCCGCATGTCCTCTATCACTTCGCGTAAGAGCGTCGTTGGTGTGTTGAACCCTATCAAGGGAGATGACCATGTGGTCCCCATCAAGCTTGAGGAACCCGAGAGGCCAGTCTCGAGGGCGACGGAGGTGGCTCCGGCGATCGATATTGGCGAGGTCAATGTGCAGTTTCCTGACACTCTCTTGTGGAAGCGTCGGTTTGTCCGAATTGATGACCAGGGTTATCTGATCCTGACGCCTGGCAATCTGGACTCGACCAACCGCAACCTGGTCAAGCGGTATCATATGTCCGAGTTCCGCACTCCTTGCCTGCCGGACGAAGACCGCCAGGAGCTGCCCAACAGCATCCTGCTGGATTTCCTGGACGGCAACACTCTCCAGTGCGCCTGCGAGTCGAGACAGGGGCAAACCTTTGTGCTTCAGAGTAAGTCGCCTGCC